GAAAATCCGGACGTATGGTAACCCTAGGTGAATGCTCCAAGCGATGGTCCCTCAGTGAGGAGAAATGCACATGTAAATGATTACTTCAGAGATAAGGGGTGTTACTAGTTTTATCTATCCCAATTTTTCCAAAGCTCTCTAAAAACAGATCCTGCTATTAAAATCCCATCCTGGAGGATCTGTAGACCTGGATTTGCAGGGAAATGGGAAAATGTATCCTCTTTTCTGAAAAATTAATTTATTAGAAAATCCTGGTCTATAGATTCAACTTTTATTGTGTTGGTTTGGATGCAATTGAAATGTATTCAATGTTTCTGTTTGGCTAGTTCAGCTGTTCTACCTGCTCGGGTTTATCGGGGATTTTTGGATATTTCTTATGGCAATATTTATCATGTAACTTTCAATCAAGAGTAATTTTTCCTGGCTGTGAAAGTTATCTCCAGTTGGCAGACTCTTCAGGAGGGTGTGGTTACCCTTGCACTGCCTGTGACGGAGAGCAATGGTTCTGCATTTTTCTGCAGTGCTGGCTATAGGACCTGTCTTGAAGAATCTTTGGACCTGGAGTCGCAAAGAAAGAAAATATTCGGTAAGTGGCATGCATTTTTCTCACTGGATGTGATGTCTTCTAAACGTTTGCCTGCTATCTGAAGTAAAAATAGGAACTGGGGCATTAAATGAGTGACAGTAAAGAACCCCAGACAGACATTGAGACTTCAGTAGCATAGCCCCTGTTGGTGCTGATCTCTATAGACACAGGACATGTATGACAAGTACTATGATGTCAAATGGCTGTATTGAAGTGTTGCCGCATTCTGTCCCCACCCCATCCTTTGACAATATAACCCTAGTGGCAGTTACCACAGCCTGGTCCACACTAACCCCCTACTTCGAACTAAGATACTCAACTTCAGCTACGTGAATAACGTAGCTGAAGTTGAAGTACCTTAGTTCGAACTTACGGCGGATCCAGACGCGGCAGGCAGGCTCCCCCGTCGACTCCGCATACTCCTCTTGCGGAGCAGGAGTACCAGCATTGACGGAGAGCACTTCCGGGATCGATTTATCGAGTCTAGACAAGACATGATAAATCGATCCCAGAAGATCGATTGCTTACCGCCGGA